TGGCAGGGCTGATCTGGGGGCACAGGCCGCCTTAGCAAGGATGTCAATGCCCAAGGGACCCTGAACCCATGTGCCACCTGCATGCCCACACACTGCCCAGCAGGTCAGACCACAGAGAGGCCAACAAACCCCAGCCCAGTCACAGGGACAGTCAAGTTTCCTTTGGTCAGAGAGAGAGAAGGAACAACAAACACACACGAGCAACGAGCAACGATTCCTTCTAACAGTCACCTTCTCCTTGTCCCCCACCCCACCCCTCCCCCCTCGAACCCCATAAACTGTAACCTATAAACAGGATCCCAATACATACAGCATCAATCATGTTTATCCATCTTAATAAACATCAGTTAACTAAATGCTACAGCTAGAATTATTTCCACTATTTATAAAGTTTTTTTCTTTTTGTTTATTTGGTTTTTAGTTTAAAACCAGTTCTGCAACAATGCTAAACTACACTGAGGTATTTCATGAAGGGGCCAGTAGCCACCGCTACCCTCCAGCACTATCCTCACGGATTAAGGTGTCACCATTCAAAGGGAGAAGGAAGGGAGAAAAGGAGATCCAGGTTCCAGACCAACACAGCTGCACCCACGGCTCCTGTGTGGGGCCAAGGCCGAGAGGCAGAGCCAGGACGGCACTGCTCACCAATGAGGGTGGTCGGAGCAGAAGCAGCTCACGAACCACGTGGACATCTGAACAACTCAGAGAACACCCTGCCCTCTGAGACCCTTCCGACATCTCACTGGGAGTCTCGGCGTCCCGTCTACCCTCTCTGGACTGAGAAACAAGGAGGCAGAACGGGACCCGCCTCGGCCTCGCCTAGGATCGCAGGCACGCGCAGTGCACGCCTCCGTCAGCTGCCTTAGCGATTCCTGGTCCAAGGAGGGTTTCCTCCTTCTCCAAAGGCAGGGGCTGCTCAGGAAGGTTTACCACTTTATCAAGTGTTGTCCTCAAAATGTCTAAGATTGAAAATGACCCCAGAAAGGCCGGGGCCAGCATTACTCGAAGAGGCCGCACACGGAACGCTCATCACAAACGGGCACAAAAGTATCCTCCTAATGCTCGTGATCAAATTAACCCGTCAACTCGCTCCCACTGGCATTAGTTTAAATTCCAGACCTTTGGTCTTTTAAAGTTTTCAGCTCTAATAAACATGGTTTGAAAAACAGAATTTTAAATTCATCAATTTTTTATGCTGATTTCTGAGAAAGCATTGACCAAACTCTCACAATGAGCTGCTCGGCTCTTCTGTAACTGAAGGTTTGGAAGTGGCGCTGGGGGTGCCAGGCCCCCGCTGCTCGCCCCAGCCAGGAGCCCCGGCCCTGCCTCTCCCTGTCAACACTGCTCCCTTTTCTTCCCATCTCACCGATTTTACTTTTTTCTCCGTAAGAAAGTTTTGTGAGGAGGACGTGGCTTGGGAACAACTTTAGACTATGAACTACAATCAGTGTCTTCTGTAAGCCACATGTCTAGTACACACTAATTGCAATGTTTACTATTAGGATTTATAATGTTAAAAGTCGACATTAATTTCCCATACTTGCAAATGTAGCAATTTAAATAGAAAATTTAATGTTAAAGATTGGGCTGAATTTAAATATTGTGTCAAGCAAATATCTGTGCTTCTGGATAATGTAGACAAGGTTCCCCCTACTTTTGCAAATAAATGAAGGATAATAGGACAAAATAACATTAAAAATAAAAAAAGAGGTATAATTGTGCTTTTCCCCCCAACAATGAAAGAATTATGTGGAACAAATGATAAAAAAAAAAATCTCACTAGAAGCCTTTTAACTAATCTTATTTTCTTTCTAAAAAAATTCTTTCTAATAATCTACCATGAAGTACAAACAGGTGTGGTCCTACACAGACCAACAGCCGGGCTCCCGTGGTTCCATCTCTCTGACAAGAAGCTGAGTAAATGGGGCTGTATTGATCTTTCTTATCAAATAAATACAGGAAGTAGGTGACATCACATAACGGACTGCACCATTTACATAATTCTAAAGAGCTGCCTCCATAACTTCAGAAACATTTAAACTAATACAGTACTCAACCTATTTCTTAAATCAGGGACAGTAACAGGGTTCCTGTGAGAAGCCCTTTTCTAGGTCTTTCTGCCTTGTCCCTCAGATTTACACAGGGCACACATCAAGTGCACGACCAAACTGCACTGCTTGCAATGAGTAGGGGTCAAACAGTTACATTCAGCACTCCCTCGGGGAAGGCCCATCGCCATGGGCAAATATAGTATCATTACAAATGCATTAGATTAGTCTTTGGTTTAATGTGTTAAGCAAATTCAGGGATGAAATAAAACTTGCATAAACATTAAGGGGAAAAAAGAAGACTGACACAATGAGTTGGGATGGCCTGTCTGGCCCTTCCTCTTAGAAATGCAGGAACTCAACCCAACACCTCTTTTTGATCAGTTGCCCCCCTTAATTTCCAGACTCCCACATACGGTGTCTAACAGCTACGTCTGAGTATCCAGCTTCAGAGAGTCACTCAACACAAAAAGCATTTGTGGAGATGATAAAGATGACACAGTGACAAAGGACTGCAGGTCGCGTCATGAAGCAATATGGTCAGTGAGGTTCCTAGGGGTGGGGCTGGGGATCTATTTAAGCTACTCACACAGCAACAAGCTGTTTTAGTGTTTCTCGTACATGTATAAATGTATGTTCATTTCGCAACTTGTTTTTACTTGTCTAAAGATTCATTTCTTTTAAATATAGGTTTTTATGCTGGTTTAATATCATAAAGTGATCCCCAGACACAATTCCCTTATCCTAAACTGACCAGAGAATACAGACAGGGCTGGGAATGAAGACCATCACACTGACTTGAATGTGTAGTATTCTTTTACATATTAAAGTCCACTGGTGAGTCTTACCTGGGAGAGGGAGCATCTTTGGAGCCACATAGGAAACAAACCCAGTCAGTCCTGGCCCTTGCTGTTAGCCACTGCGCTGGAGTTCCTTGGGCCTTGACACTTCCTTTGGTAGTCATTTTGGGAATCAATGCTATAGCCTCTCACCCAGTATGGTGGGTATCAGCATTCCCCTCCCTGAATCTTGCCTGGAACCTGCCACTCCCAAGGGCGCAACCCTTTCCCGTGGCAGCTGCAGTATTATTGATAGTCCTACAACCATTAGCACAGACTAAAGTTAGAGATATCAAGTCAGGATACAAGACTAAATTTAACTACATCAGAGAACTTGAGGGGCAGAGAGAGAAAAGTTAGTTCACCGACACTGCCATTCTATTTACACACCAAACTAAATAAACTAGTTAAAAATCAAGTTCATGTCTGCCCAGAGGATAGTACAATTTACCAACATAAAAGATTAAAAGAAGCAGCAACTTTTATATAAAATTATTAAAGACAATGAAAAAGAAATTGTCAGTAGCATCTAACTCCTCAATGTGTCTGAACCGCACGATAAAAACTAGTCCTTTAGTACAGCAGCTTGCTAAAAATTGACTTTGGTTCAAGCTTAGTTAAAAAACACACAAAAACATAAAAAAACCAAAAACACACCACACATAAAAAAGGTGGGTGGACATTTGTTAGTATCCCTGCTTGCAGTTCACTGATTTTGGAGGGATTTTAGGGAAAGGGAAGGGTGAGGAGAGGACACCGAGGCTGGGAATTAAATACTTTGTGAAATAAAACAGGAAGACAGATGGAGCAAAAGAAAAATCAACAAGGGGATGAAACTGTTTCTGGCCTTTTAACATTAATGTGCCTGTCTCCCACCTGGATGATCACAAACAGAAAAGCACGACCTTTCCCACGGCCGTGGAGACATAGGTGCACAGAACCAAGCTCCCTCCAGCACATGCCGAGCAACGAAAATGCCGGGTAAGCCCTCAGCCTAAAGCTCAGAAGGGGAGAGTGCAGCGGGGACAAGGTCAGCAAGCACCCGGGACAGCAGCCGGCCCTCGCCCTCAGTCAGATGGGCGGGCGGGCGCAGGAGCGCCTTGCAGGGATCAGTCCAGGGGTTTTGGTATAGATGCTGCCATAAAGAAAAGGGGATCCCGTTTCCCAGTCACCTCGCTCCTCATCTACTTCATGAACTCCCCCTTCTCGGGCTCATTTACACAGTCCAGAAACACCGCACCGTGCCAGAAGCTCCTCCCTTCCCCAGAACAGCTACCACTGCCATGTGACCCGCCTCACAGGAGCATCACTACCCAGCCCAGGAGACACCCGAGTGAGTGCACGCAGGTCCTACTCAGTCCTCAGGCTCTCCAGACCCATGAAGCTAGTGCGTGCCTTCTCCACCAGGGGACAAGGACGGTCTTGGGGTGGCGGGTGAGAGCCACCTCGGGAAAAGGAAGTCTGTGGCTAAAGAAGGTGTAACCTCAGACTCTTCTCATCCCCCTGTTGGAGGTCAATCACCGATGGGAGCAGGCTAGCAGGGCTCCTTTAGAGAACAGGAGGGAAAAACCCCACTCCCAACAAGTACATTTGTTCTTTGCTAAGTTGAAGGAAGTTCAGTTGAAAACCTTCCACACAATGGAACAAACACACACACACAGCAACAATAGGAGCATTTTTCAGGAGATCAGAGTCACGAGAACCACCCAGGCAGGTGTCTGCAGTAGTCTTTGCTCTTGGAGCCAAGTCCCGCCTGCAACACGTGCGGCCCCGTGAGAGGCAAGGAGCGGCGCTGGTGCACCCCGGGACCTGGCCTCGGGTCATTCAAGGTCGGAGTGAGAGCTACAG